TTTTTGTTTTGAAAACATGCCGTGGAAAAGGAGACCAAAGACTGTGGCCTCAGCCTCTCTGGCCTCTGTGTTCTGAGCACCTTGTGGGTGAGGACGGTGAGGGTCAGGGGCAGAGGGGGCCTGGCGGGGGCCGGCCCTGAAGGAGGGCAGGCGAGCAGGGCTTCGCCAGCCTGGCTGCCAGGGCCCCTCCCCGTGTGCATCTCCCCAGGCTTTCCGACTTTCATAGTCAATACTGAGAAGGAGCAGGTCACGCGGCCCCGTGGAGCCTGAGGGAGCAGTCTGGAAGCTGCCAGACCCGCGGTGTGTGCAGGTGGGGAGGGGCGGCCCCAGGCTGAGGTCACCAGGTCAGGGTCTCAGCTTCTCACCTTCTCTCAGGGGCCGGGATGGCTGAGCCTCCCCACCTTTACCTCCATAGGATTGCTGCAGGATCAAGAATAATACACATGGAAGGGCTTAGAAACTAACCGTAGGAGTTGGGTAAATAGTTTGTTCATTCCTTATGATCTGTCTTGAGATCTGTAGTTGCATTCAGAAACCAAGAATTCAGAAACGTGGGAACGTTTACTTAAAGGTCAGACGTTGAAAGGAGAGAAATATGTAAAAAAATACTCAGACTCACGATTCCTTTTAGGTTTGCTCTGTTCTCAAGATAGTCACACGGAGCCCACGGGGGAAACCGCAGGGACGAGCCACGGTGTTTCAGCACAATGGGAGGCTCTGATGCCAGCTACTCTCAAAGCGGTGTCAAAAGAAAGCCAAATAGTTTACTTTAAAAGGACTTTTCACATTATTAGTGAATTTGCACACTCGTTTATGAATAGCAGAGACATCTTTCTATGGTTTCAGGAAGGATATAGTTAACATTTACCAATGTCAGTCAAGTACAGGTGAAAACTATGTGCTTTGTACATGTTAGTTTTGGTCTTTTTTTTTAAAATGTAACTTCCTTTTCACTCAATCCCATATTTATATAGAGAGGTGGATTTGTGTGTGGGCATCAGATACACACATCCTGCATCTATATCCCAGATTAAAACAACAATTCAAACTGCCACATAAGTTTTAGGAAAAAAACAATAGTTTCCACCTCAGGAGCATTTTAGAGAAAAATTAAATATAAGGGAAAAAACCCTTCTTATTAAATTGTGGTATAACAGCTCACCACATCCTGTTGCAGGGACATCTGACGTGAAACACAGCAAAGGTTCCTCTTTCAGGTCCCTCACGATCCGGGAGGGTCACATGTTACCTGCAGTTCAAAATACTTCTGTAAAGAAAAAAAAAACCTCTGTGTCGGTGGAAAAGCTGAATAAGAAGGTGGAAATTATCAGTAGAGAGAAGACATTGTAGGAAACCGTAGGTGTCTTTGGCACAACCATATCAAAGAGAGAAAGCCACCCCCGAAATAACCCACACGGAGCCCCGGGGCTGGGCCTGATGGGGGCTCGGACCCATGACCTCACGGAGGGAAGATAGGAAGTCGTGGCCAGGAGGACCGGGGCCGGGACCCTGTGTTCCACTTCCCACCCTCTGTCGGGGCCCCTCCACCTCAGCCCTACCCTGACCTGGTCTTTCTTTATCCATTTGTGAAATGGGGCCATCATGGCTTCCCTGCAGGGCTCCTACCCAGACTGTGTCTGTGGAAGGGAGTGAGGTCTGAGCGCCCACCCTCAACCCCGGGGACCCTTGTGGGAAGCGTCATCCACTGGGGGTTTCTCGTCTTCCACCTTTACTTTGGGCAGCATCCTGGCTCAGGCAGCAGTGCTCAGGGAAGATGCAGGAGGATGTGTGTATAGGGGTGGGGGGTGGGTAGTTCTTGCGTCTGTTCCTAAGAGGAATGAAACACTGTGACCCCAGCCTGCCCTTTCCAGTCGTGGACAGCACTGGGTCCAGCCAACAACTTGTCGACAGGGGGCTCATCAGAGACCCCAGCTGACGGCGATGGGCAGGAGCTCTGCTCCCACCCTGGCCCCTGTGGCTCTCCTAGGGGCTCCCCACAGGACCAGGCCTCACTCAGAGCAGAGCCCCGCACTGGCCTCCTGTCTGGGCCCAGCATGTCCGGGATATGCCTCTTCACTACACCCCCACCGCCACCACGGGCACCCCCTTAAAGGTTCAGGTGCCCCAGTAGGCGAAAGGGGAAGCCCACCGCTGAGGTTTCTTCCCCTTTTATCTCGTCAAACAGATGTTATTTTTCCTGTGGTCTCTCTAACCCTGAGTAAAGATTCTCAGCTACTCCACTGACTGCCTTACTAACCCTCAGAGCTCCCTCCCAACCCCCTCACTTTTACCCCTCAGATGGGGAAAAAATGGAAACAGTGACAGGTTTTCTTGGGTTCCAAAATCACTGTGGACAGTGACTGAAGTCATGAAACTAATAGATGCCTACTCCTTGGAAGAAAAGCTTTGACAAACTTAGACAGCATTAGAAAGCAGAGACATCACTTTTCAGAAAAAGTGCATATAGTCAAAGATATGGTTTTTCCAATAATCATGTACTAATGTGAGAATTGGATCATAAAGACAGCTGAGTGCCAAAGAATTGATGCTTTTGAACTGTGGTGTTGGAGAAGACTCTTAAAAGTCTCTGGACAGCAAGGAAATCAAACCAGTCAATCCTAAAAGAAATCAACCCTGAATATTCATTGGAAGGACTGATGCTGAAGCTGAAGCTCCAATACTTTGGCCCCCTGATGTGGAGAACCGACTCATTGGAGAAGACCCTGATGCTGGGAAAGATTGAAGGCAGGAGGAGAAGGGGACGCAGAGGATGAGATGGCTGGGTGGCATCACCGACTGAATAGGCATGAGTTTGAGCAAGCTCCAGGAATTGGTGAAGGACAGGGAAGCCTGGCGTGCTGCAGTTCATGGGTCGCAAAGAGTTGGACATGACCGAGCAACAACGACATTACCTCTCAGGTCTCTCTCCCAGTTCCAGTCATTATTGCCCATCAGATATTTTTCAGCCATCTATTCCTGATCTTACTAGACTGCTCTGAGATTTCCATTTTCCTAAACCTGGGAAGGCAGAGCTGGATTCTGAGTCGTGTGACTGACCTCCACCCCCACCCCCTTCAGGTGAGGTCGAGCACGGTTCCCACTGTGAAATCTTTGCCTTGAGGCAAGACAGCTGATTTCTGTTCTGGGATGGAGCTGGCCCCACCACCTCCATTACCCTTTCTCAGTAGTAGCTGTCACCCAATGGGAGGGACCCTGACCTGCGTGGCCCCAAACCTGCTTCTTTTCTCGGAGAAGTTTAGGCAGCCCCACCAGGCCCCTGGCCTCGGGTTGCTTTAGGACAAAATGAAGTCACCGTCAGGAAAGCGCCCCGTAAACCGTCAGGTGCCCAGTGAGGACAGTGTGAATGGCTCTTCCATGCCCATGCTGCCACAGGGTGCCCGCCGGCCCCTGTATGTACACACCACCCACCCCCGGCACGTACGCTCCTCTCTCCCGTACACTCTCTACCATCCGCGCCCCCCTCCAACTCCCCCATCTGCGCACCTCCACCCCACACATATGCCCTCTACCGGTCCGTGGCCCTCCGCCACCCCCCCATGTACGCTCTCTCCCGCATTCGCGTCCCCTCCACTCCCCATGTACACTCTCTGTATGCGCTCTCTCTGTCTTTAGTTGTTATGCACAGTTGGCCTGGGGCAGAGACACCCTGGGTGCCATTGAGGCCCATCCTGACCCAGACCAGACCTCGGAGAGACTCGGATCCTGTCTTTTGTCAGAATGACCTTTGGGGCAGCGCTTGGGAGACGTGGACTAGACTTAGTAGACTTAGGAGCACAGAGGCCGAACCTGGAGGAAACAGAGGAGCTGCTGGGCTGGGAGCCGATGTCCCCCCCGCCTTCCCTGCCCCAGGCCCTCGGGGACCCGTGAGCCAGGCAGGGGCATGTGGCCTTACCCGCCTGCCGCAGCGCCTGGGCCCAGGTGCACTGGCCGAGGGCCGTGGAGGCAGCTGCCGCCTGTCCAGCATTTCCCGCGCGAGGCTGGCACCATCGGCAGAGGACCTGTGACCACCTGTCAGACAGCCGTGTCCGTCCAGGCGTGTCCCTGTGGGCCGCTGCCCGGCACCCCCACCCCCCACGTGCCCCCTCCTCAGGAGGAGCCGGGCTCCGGGGTCCACAGGGCCAGCAAGTTCTGTTGTCGGTTCCCGTGACACAATTCCTGGTTCCCCACTGTGCTTTATTATTGTTATTCTTAAAAATACTTGGCGGGTAGGGGGGTGTTGAAAAGCAGTTTAGGGAAGGGAGTGGGCTCGGAAACGCGCCCCACTGATTGCTCCGGGAAGCCGCCCTCGGCCCGCCGGGGCCTCGGCAGAAACACATGGTTTATCTGGCGGCAGAGGGGAGCCCGGGCAGTTCCGTGACGCTAGCACGTCCCCACCTCTGAGCCCTGCGAGCGGTGCCGACAGCCTCCCGGTGACATTTCCCATCTGTGCCGTCGGGGGTGGGGGCGGACGGAGGGAGGTTGCCGGTCCCTCCCGAAGCCTGTGCCAGCTCCGCTCACTTCCTCCCCAGCTGCCAAAGATCACAGGCCAATGGTGGACACGGACGAGGCAACAGAGGTGAAGGAAGAGCCCTGAACAAAGGGAGGCTCAGGCCGGGCAGTCAGCCCTCCTTCCCGACCTGCCCTGAGCTGACTGGCCACGAGGCCGCAGCAAGGGGCCCACGGGGCTTGTGCTTCAGGCGGTACTGCCACGGCCGGGGTTTATCTGTTGGTTTTGCAAATCTGCATGAGCACAGATGGCGTCCTGCCCTGGGTCAGCCATCAGAACCTGACGCAGGCCCCTGGTCTCAGCCCAAGTACTGGCCCTGCGGTCACAGCCCCCGGTCTGGGGCAGCCGTGTCCTGCCGGCTCAGGACTCATTCTCAGGGGACAACTTTTCACAGGCTGAACATAACTGAGTGATGGGATTTCTGGTGTTTACGTAAACTTGGCGTGTGGAGTCCTGTCTCTCTGACTCCCTCTCTACTTTTGTTTTCTTACAGTAAATGAGATAATCCGCAATGACCTCTCCAGCACCAACATCCACTCGTAGTTGGCAGCGTGGACTCTCAGAGGCTACGTGGTGTCTGTCTATTCCACGGTGATGACTCTGAGTCAACAAATTGAATCCACACCTGGTACCACTGGGAGCTTCCGCCGCAGTGAAGGCTCAGGTCACTTGTGCAAAGTAGCCCAAGGAAGGAAGGACCGATCCCTCTTCTGAAGGAAAGTCACCTCAAGAAGGAAATGAAAGTGGGTGGGTGGGGAGAGCACGGAAGACAGACCTCGTGACACTGCCCTCGTGGCCTCGACCCGACATGGCGGCCTGAACCCAAGCCGCGCCCTTCAGGCACGCTGGATTTTTCAGTGGAAGTGCCTTATTTCAGCAGACCACAGCAGCTGGGCACTGTGGAATCAAGCACTGACATGGCTACCAGGAGGGCATTTGTAGGAGCAGAAGCTATAGGACGTTTCATCATGAGGCTTTATCCTTTGTATAAATTAAAAGAATACTGGAGGACTGGGCATTGTGAGGAAACCCTACCATGTTTCCTACTTTCCCACCTCTTCCTGGGCTGTGACATACAATTCTGTTGCCTTACTCAGTGCGCTTCAGAACTGCTCCAAAGTGTCATCTCAGATCTCGTGACTACCTTCCCTCCCCTGTGTTACTCAGACCATAGGGTTGTTCATTGTAGCATGTTAGGATTTTGTTTTTAATCTGGCTTCAAACATAGCACAGGTAAGTTGAATAGCACAAGATAAGTTACTGGACAAAAAGAGAAATCTCTCTGTCTTGGGATAGGTCTTGCATTTGCATGTGTGTACATATATAGGCATATATTTATGGTGAACATAACCGACATGGTGACATTCAGTCTCCACCCAGCAAGGGTGTCCGTGTCAGCAATAATCAGTATCCGTTTTGGAAAATACACCGGAGGCTCAAGATCCAGCTCCCCATAGCCACATCCGTGGGGGCGACCCCTGGCCCCGGGAGGTCTGTGTCTCGGGTCTCCTGCAGTTAACCAAGCACTTTAGAACCAGGAGAGGTGCATCCATGATATCGGCTATTACACCAAATGGCAGAATTGGAAAGGAACTGTAAATAGTGTTGCAGAAGGAGTGTAATATATTTGTTCCGCTGTAAGATCATTCTTTTCACAAAAGCCTTGTAACTGCTTCATCTGAGGAAACCATTACCAAAAACAGCGTTTTACTATGTGGTGACTGTAGTGTTTCCAGACTAGTTACTGTTAACATAGGTTAGTGTGAGCTTTACTACTGCATTTTGTACCCATAACAGCTTATTACGCATTATTGCTAGCCGTGACCTGTTGTTTCACATAACCAAAAAGCATGGTTTAATGAAAACACGTTTAACCTGATAACTGTGCCTTAGGAACTCACGCCCCCTGCTGGAATGTGGACGAATTGCACCCTCGGGGGAGGTGACACGTCCTGTCCCCAAACTCAAGTGTTTCAGTTGGGAAGGCGCTCTCCCACGGAAAGAATTATTTTTAAAATGTTGTTCTGTACGACTATGTCTTACTTGTTTTTTAAGTCACAGAAACGAAATCCTGAAAGCCATATTTGTAACATTTGCACATTACTGTGAAGAGCTGACGGTATATGGCTTCCTGTACATAGCGCCCCCCAACCCCGCCTGGAGCCCTGTCCTGCATTTAGCCTCCTAGGAATTGCATGAGACGTTTCTCGGGAGACCGTCCTACAGAAAGGAGATGTTTGATACTGTGTTAGCTCTCTTTGTAGGTAGAAAATAGATCCAATAAAGCAATATTTTTCTTTCTTTTTTTTTTGCTGGACCATCTTAGTCGGACTGTGAGTCATTCCATGCATGGAAAAATCTTCTTTGTTCCTAAGCGTGTTTTCTGCTGTAGGTCCGTGTGCTTGTGTTTGTAGAAGGGCTTCCCATCATCCAGCTGCACGTGTGAGGCGTGTTCTCGCCTCCGTACATGTATCAGGAAGGCCACCCTGGGAGGCGTGGATGTTAGTGGCGTCCCCATTGCTTAGATGGCATGTCAGATATGCTTCTCCAGGCCCCGTGGAGAGGACCTCCGCTTCTGCCAACATTTCTGTCAGGAGGCAGAGCCAGGTGAGACCTCCCACACTCATGCGTGACCTGCCATCACCTTCACAACGAGGCCTGTGGCCACCTGGCTTGGCTGTCTCCTCCCCTCCCCCACCCACACCCCTACTTCGGGCTCAGGTGGGGACTGTTAGCAAGTTGTCCTAAGGCGAGGGTGACACCAGGAACTTCCAGGGGACACTCCAGGGCTCAGTGCACTGAATTGCGGAGATACTGTTTTGCATTCAGGTCTTTCAAGAATTCCTGTTTCTTTGGCCAGAAGGTTTACAGGTGGCGGTGTACGTGTGTTAGTCACTCAGTCGTGTCCAACTCTGCGACCCCATGGACTGTAGCCCACCAGGCTCCTCTGTCCATGGAATTCTCCAGGCAAGAACACTGGAGTGGATAGCCATTCCCTTCTCCAGGGGATCTTCTAAAATCCTAGAAAAATCTCATCGATGCAGTTAGCAAGAGTCCGTCCCACTCAGTTTCTGTCCTGTCTGAAGGGAGCCCAGTGGTAACGCCCACAGGAGCTCAGGGAATCGAAGATGCGTGGGTCGGCTAAGGTGGGGGAGGATTGTGGGAGGTGACACTTGGCCGGCGGTCAGCATGGGGTGGCCTCAAGCCTGGGACTCCGCTGGAGAGCTGGGTCCCAAAGCACATCCCAGAGGCCACAGGGCGTGCAGGAGGTCACAGCTCGTGTCCACCTCTCTGAAGGACGTACTGGAGGCCGTTAGTTTCAAAATGAGTCTCTATAAGCCCACCCCCACTCCCAACAATGGCATTTTATATTCCAGAAATGAAAACCTTTATAACAATGGTTTCTGCAAAAGAGGCTGAAAAAGTGAAAGTGAAGTTTCTCAGTTGTGTCCAACTCTGCAACCCCATAGACTGTAGCCCGCCTGGCTCCTCCATCCATGGGATATTCCAGGCAAGAATCCTGGAGTGGATAGACATTCCCTTCTCCAGGGGATCTTCCCAACCCAGGGATCGAACCCAGGTCTCCCACACTGCAGGCAGACTCTTTACCACTTGAGCCACCAGGGAATCCCTCAAAGGAGTCTGGGCCTCTGCAAATACCCGTTTACTGAGTTTTCATTCCTTTCATGTTGCTTTTGAATAAGAAGGAAAGCATCCCACCACTGGTTTCTGGCAGGCAGCTACTGTGCTTTGCTCAGGTGTGTAGACTTGGAGGCCAGGTCACCTCCCAGATGCTCCCTCACTGTCCTGGGTGACCTTGGCCCTTCAGGAACCTGGGCAGGTGCAGCCCGGGAGCCGCTGACTTGGGACACTCGGGGCAGCCTCATGGGGGCATCTGCTGACTTTCCCCTCCTCCCCTCAGGCTTCCCGTGGCTCCAGCCTTGCCCCAGCCCGAGACAGTGTGAAAAAACCTGATAGACATCCAATTTCTCCTTGTAGCCAGTGCAACCCGAGCAGAACTCGCCGGAGTTCTGGGAGACCCCTCTCTGTCCGAAAATGTCCCCTGATCCCTGCAGCCCCCACCCTGTCACACAGACCACCCACCCCACCTCAGGACGTGTGGGCCCACCCCAGTTTTAAGGAGGGGCCATGGGGCAGCTGCTTCTGCCAATCGCCAGGGTGCAGGGCCCCGGCTGACGACACTGCAAGGAGGGGTTTCTGCACCCTTTTATTACATATTCCTTCAGAGACAGGCTCCACGTTGCAATAAACTGCTTGGGTTGTTTGGAAAGGAAAGACAGAGAAGACAGGAGCAGTTGAAGCTGAGGAAAGCAAGGCCAGATGTAGGGAATCCACAGAAGATGAGATTAGCTGCTTTCAAGCGTACAACCGGGATTTAGTGCATTCACAGTGCTGAGATACCTCAACTTCCTTCACCCCAAGAGGAAACCCTGCACCTGTGAACAGTCAACTCCCCATCCCCTCCTCCAGCCCCTGGGAACCATGATAATTCTGCTGTGTGAATCTGTGTGTTCTGGACACTTCTTGTAAACTGACTTGAACAACATGGCCTCTTTTACGGGGACTTCAAGTTCATCCACATAACGGCCTTTATCAGAGCTTCATTCCTTATGGCCTAATACTGTCCACTCTGTGGATAGACCACACTGTGCCCATCAGGCAATGGACATCTGGGCTGTACCCACCTTTTGGTGACTGGGAGTAACACTGTTGTGAACATTCGCATATGAGTTTTTGCTCCAATCCCTGTTTTCAGTTCTCCAGGGGAACGCCTAGGAATGGAATTCCTGGTAAATTGGTAATTGTGTGTTTTACTTTTTGAAGAACTGCTTTCCCTTGCTCAATTTTTAGATTATCCATCCCTGAGACAGACTCTGGATCACTAACCTAATTTGGAATCACATATGTGAAGCACATCATATTTATACTTCTTTATGCCAAAAAAATTAAGTTAGCGCTAAGATGACTAAGTGCTCGTTTATGCCCCAGCAGAAGGCAGCTCCTGCATGTCTGCCTCTAGCCTCCTGGGTGGAGTCAACCCGCCCTGGTCCTGCCAGTGAACTGGGCCCTCGCTGTGCATCTGAGTCATTGAGGTGGTGCCAGCCAGGCCCCAGATCACGCGTGTCTGTGCTTCACACGTACAGACGACAAGACCTAGAAGAAAGCCTCATGGAGGCCACACTGCTGCACCCTGTTTCTGAAAGAACCGAGCTGCTGCAGGCGTCTCGCACGATGACCTCCCTGCTGATGTGCACCAGCCTGCCAGCAGAGCCGCACACACATGCTCTCACACACGCACTCACACACAGACACAGACACACACACACACACAGAGACGCACTCATTCACTCACACACTCACACCCAGACATACACACATACTCACACACAGACACACACACACACACAGGCACATGCACACACACCCAGACACATACACACCCAGACACGCACTCATTCACACACACTCACACACACCCAGACACATACACACATACACACAGACACCCACACCCACACCCA